GCAGGAATCTGATCGCCTTTCCTTCCACACCCATCATCCAGGCCCATTATACAGACGGCACCGTGCTGACTGGACCTGGTGAGCAAGAAGTAGCAACCGCTCTAGATGTGTGGGTAATCCATCTGTGCGTCAGAGGTGGGAAAGAAATCCAACAAACTCCAGGGCCTTCTACCTCAGTGATGTCTAGGGGTCAGGGTCTGGGCACCCTGAGAGAGCCCTTCCCGGGAGAAGGATATGTTGTTGCACCTGACCCTCCTACCACCAAAACTAACCCACATGCCGAGTGGCCTCTTTGGATCTTGGAGGTAACATTCCTCACTTGGGTGTGTTCCTCGGGGCCTTTACCATGTGGCCAGCAGGGCTGCGAGTTGCTGCGAGTGGGGCCAACATGAGAGGAAGCTCTGCGACGGGCCAGGCTGTGCTCTGCCCTTGGGCCACATAAGCCAGCAGACACCCCCCCCCAACCCCCCTGTGCTTGGAGTGTCACGGCAGACCTGGGTGCCATGTGGAGCCTTGGACAGCACCAATGGGTGAAGCCCGTAGGATTCTGGAGGAAAGCCCTCTGTGCTGTGTAAACAGCTCTTGCAGCCACTGGGCCTCCGCAGAGACTGAACACTTGCCCATGGGCTTCCCAGGAGACCTAGCTGCTCAGCGTGAACAGGATGTCATCTTGTCATCTGATCCACCAGGCACATAGCTGGGCATGCATGGCAGCCCTCTGCTCTCAAACGGAAGTGGCACATGTGTCATGAGGCCTGAACAGGCCTGAAGGCACAAGTGAGCTATGGGAGGAACTGGCCCAAATGCCCATGGTCTCCATCCTTCTCTCCCGCCTGCACCCTGCCCTCGTGGGGAGGGCCCCAAAGTGAGCTGCCAGCGGAGAAGACTTGGGCCTGGGTTCCCTGCAGGCAGCACAGGAAGGCATTGCTTCTAAGGACACCTCTGAGGGGCAGCGCTGAGGAAATCACCCAGGGGGCGGGACCTCGAGCAGTGCACCTGGTCGTTCCTTTGCTTGGAAGGAGACATGGCCAGATGTGTGACTACATGCTGACTCATGGCTGCGACCAATAGGTTGGCTGGATGGTCAGGATCTTGGAAAGAACGTGACTGGAAAATTGGTAACAAAGGGCAGACTTGTGATGGTTAATTTTATGTGTCAATGTGATGGGGCTGCAGGGTACCCAGATATTTGATCAATTTCTGAGTCTGCCTGCGAGGGTGTTTCTAAAAGATCCACGTTTGTGCCCTGACCTGTTTGGCTCAGTGGATAGAGCGTCAGCCTGCGGACTGAAGGGTCCCGGGTTCGATTCCAGTCAAGGGCCTTAGTTTCGGGCACATCCCCGGTGCGGGGTGTGCAGGAGGCAGCTGATCGATGTTCCTCTCTCATCGATGTTTCTAACTCTCTATCCTTCTCCCTTCCTCTCTGTAAAAAATCAATAAAATATATATATTTTTTTAAAAAATAAAAGATCCACGTTTGCACTGGTAGCCTGAGGACAGCAGGCTGCCCTCCCCACGTGGTGGCCTGCCCAATCAGTGGAAGGCCTGAACAGAACAAGAGGCCGAGGAACAGGAACTCTTTCTTTCTGCCTGTCTTCCCGCTCAGATACTGGTCTTCTCTGGCCTTCAGACTCAGACTAAAACTGACTCCACCAGCTTCCCTGGTTCTCAGGCCTTCCAACCGGACTGGAACGACACCATCAGCTCTCCTGCATCTGCTTCACAACAGTGTGGCCTTGTTAATGGGTATCATTTCCGAGAAGCCAAGAAGCAAGCATCTCAGACTGACAGCTCTTCAGCCTCACGACAATCTGAGGGACTAGTGAGCATTCCTTCGGATGTCAGACACAGCTTACAGAAAGCGCTAAGTTCAGAAGACAAAGACGAGTGGGAAGCTTCAGGAGATTCACTACATGCAACAGAGGACACAGATCAAGCATGTAGAAGGAAGACCAGGGTCATAAAAGCCTCCAGAGCGAGCCCCAGGGCTGGCAGTTAGGCCGCCTAGACCGTCCCCAGAACGATTTAGAAGCAATACCATCATTTAGATCAGGGGTCCTCAAACTACGGCCCGCGGGCCACATGCAAATACAAATATTGTATTTGTTCCCGTTTTGTTTTTTTACTTCAGAATAAGATATGTGCAGTGTGCATAGGAATTTGTTCATAGGTTTTTTTTTAAACTATAGTCCGGCCCTCCAACGGTCTGAGGGACAAGTGAACTGGCTCCCTGTTTAAAAAGTTTGAGGACCCCTGATTTAGATGCTTCTTCCTCTTGCTCCCCAACTTTCAGCTCATGTGTTTACTATACATATACATTCTTTTGCCTTATGTAGTGTAATCCTTCAGTGTATGTTTACTGAGCAACCACTCCATGGAAAGCACTGTCCTAGGCCCTGGTTTAAAAACAAAATTACGTGCCTGAGCTTACACCCTTACATCATAATGAGAAAGACAACCCATACAGACAAATATCACTTCCAAGGTTAAGGCATCTTGTACCAAACATAGGGCACGTCATGTGTTGATAGCTCTTACCTTGTCCATAAACAGAACAAGGAAACAGCCCTGATTTAGAGTAAATGAAGGCCATTAGTACAGCATGCCATTTCTATGAGTAAAACTGAAAACAAAGGTAAATGCACTTGTCACACCGGTCAGCCCAGCCTTAGCCACCTCACTGCCGGTGAAAACCCGGAGCCCAGCACTCAGGAAGGCAAGCACATGGCACCCACAGTCTCACAGAAAAGCGGCCCAGAGGGAAGCATGCCAGTCTTCCCCAAACACGTTGGACAACACATACAAGAACCACCTGTGGATTATATGTGGCTACCAAGGTGTTTGTTCATCACAAATAGCTCTGTCATCTAAAGACAACTCCAGGAACCGTAGCCATGACCTTCCAGGCTGCTTCCTGCCTTTCAGAGTAACAGGTGACCTTTCAGACTTACTTTCTGTGTCCATTTCAGTAAACACCTTATTTTCCTTGAGTTTTTCAATTGCTAACCAATTGGAAAATAGAGTAATTTTTTTATTCACTTAATAATTAGTCCTAACCTTACTGAATTCATCTGGTCCTCAGAGTGTCAACGACTCCATTGTTTCCAGTTTCAAGCATGACAGTGACCACAAGGCCAGATTAAAATATGCAATTAGAATGAATTTTAAAATTCTTACGTCAAAAAACAGCTTAAGCAATATTAAAGGACAATTGGGAGGAAAATGTTTGCAATTAACCTGATAGACAACTAATTACGTAAAATAAAAACACTGCAAAAATAAGCAAAGAGAACATAGGTAGGCAATTTACTAAAAAATATGAATGACCTATAAGTGTGCCTTGTAAATGTCCACCTGCACTAGTAACTAAGGAAATAGAAATTTAAGGGGAAATGTTTCCTCTATTCAGTTGGTAGGTTTGTTTTCACTAACAACCAAACTTGGTAAAGACACACTCTGGGAACACAGACGCTTGCATACTGGCCAGGATGAAGCCGCCTGAAAAATTCGTACAGTTTTTTCTGAAGAATAAAGGGGGAATCTCTTTTTAAATACTTGTAAAGTATGCTTACCTGGAAAGTGAATTGCATAAATTTAAAGGCAAATATTTATTTATAAGGTGACAATTGTAGCTTTCTAATTAAAAACCTGGAAGAACCATGATCATAATGGCTCTAAGTGACACTGCAGCCGTGGACGGGAAGGACACAAGGCAGCAGTGAGCACGGCAGGTGCCCTCCGCCAGTGGTCTGCTCAAATCCACAGAGAGCTGAAAGCTGCAGGCCAGTGTCCACAGTACTTTCCACCATACAGGATTGTGAGGAAGAGTGATTTTCTTCCCTATAAATGTTGTTTTCCAAATTTTCTACAGCCAACATGTATTTCTTTAAACACATACAAAGGAGTAAGAGAAAGGGTATATGTATAAACTCCAGGTGAATTTAACAGTTAAATGCAAACAAAACCATTTTTTTAAATTTATTTAATCCTCACCGAGGATATATTTATTGATTTGGGGGGGGGGGGGGGAGGGACATCAATGTGAGAGAGAAATATCAATCAATTGCCTCCTGTACACACCCCGATCGGGAATCAAACCCACAACCCTTTAGCTGTACAGGACAACACTCCAACAGAAAAAAAGGAAGTATTTGTCACATCTTAGGAAGCGAAGGGATCTTCTAAACACAAAAACCATTAGAGAAACCAAAGGAAGAAAAAGACTGTACAACATAAAAATGTAAAACTTATATAAATCAAAAAAAACAAATAAAATTCAAAAGCAAAATAACTAGAAAAACATATCTATAAAAATCGGATAAAAAGCTGTGTTTGGCACATAAAGAGATCACATAGTTCAATATAGAAAAAAAGGAGGAGCAAGGGGCTATGCAACATATAAAAATATACACATTAAACCTTTTTAGATATACAGTATATTACAAATTAAAATGCCCTACCTCACTAAAAATTTCTAGAAAATGGCAGAGCTAAGATTAGAATGCAGATCTCTTTGGCTTCAAAGTAATATACCATGTTGCCTATGATAACTCATTATTTTATTAAAAACCACATCAACTTTAAAGTTTGTACTTGATAAAAGAGTTTCCCCTTCTACCACACATTTTGAAATGGCTAGAGAAACAGCAAATAAATACAATGGAAACTTGGCTCCTTTTTCAGGTTTTCAATGGAGGTTGAGTTCTTCTGGCATGTTCAGATAAAACCAAAATTCTCTTGCTAAATATTTAAATTAAAATGTACTTATCAGAATCCTGGTCAGTATTAAAACTACTCCTTGAGTAAGTAAAACAGAGAAGCTTTTCACAACTAACAGGAAAAGGGAGGTGAATAAAATCTGGTTTTCTGATTTTATTAAGGACTCAAGTGATTTATCAAAGAAAGATGCAAATTATGAAGAAACTATGAAAAGGAAAATCTAAAAATACAGTGCAGTACAAAATTAAAACATTAATGGTGATGAAGCCATACATACTAACCATGGATCAGGGAGCCATTGAGCCACTGAATATAGTAGTTGTGAGGAAAGGAAAGTAGGATTTCGTTGCTGATGATGGAGAAGGGTAAGAGCAGCACAGCCCCAGCGGACACTGCGAGTGTGAACGTGCACAGAAACAACCTGGAAGAGAAGAGAGGCGTGTCACCAGCGACCGGGAAGCAGGGGATGCGGCCATCATTCAAAACGAATAAAAATTCTGAAATTTTTATCTAAAAAAAATTATGGGAAAATTTCATGAAATCTATGCAACTGGAAGACAAATGACACATGTGTGATCCTACATCAACTCTAGAGCACCTCACTCTGCAGAGATTGGTGGGTCTAACGAGAAGGCCCCAGAGGACACATGTACCGAAGGCAGAGGCCTCACACACTCGCAGAGAATGAGCTGTAGGCTCTCTCCTCCTTTAAATGTGATGTTCATTTCACATTGCATTTGATTAATAGCTTTGGCAATCTATGCTAAAAGCAAGGCAACAACTATTTTAGGTGAAAAAATACCTGTGAACGCAGTATGAAAAACTCGTATTTCAGGAGCAAACTTACAAAGCCACTGGTCTGCTACCCCTTAAAATGGGTAAAGTGTAAATAAATTGTACTAATCAACAGTAGGGATCATTAAACAGTATTTAAAACACTATTCTGTCATTTTAAAAAATATCTCTAATATGTACTAATTTAGAAAGGTGTCTAAAACAAGTCAGGAACACAAATTGAAGGAAAGACAGACGATAAATAGAAAGCATGCCCCTCCCCGCAAAAAAAAGCGCACAAATACACACAGGAAAGTAGAGGTGGAGGCCCCAGCACAGCACAGAACGAAGCCCAGGGGAGAGCGGGTTTCAAGGGGCTCACTCTCAGTCCCACGTCTGCAACGTTTAAATTTTTATAGCTATTTTTTAAGATTTTTTTAAGTAGCAAAGAAAACAGGGGTCTCACCAACATTAGAGAGGGAAACTTAATTTAATAGTCATCCCATTAAAGAAAATATAGGAAGAATGTGAAAATGTAAGGAAAACCATCACACAAACGCTCTAAATCCACATCTGATGGAGTAACTTTGCAGCAATGCCACCTTGTGGTGGCCCACAGAAGTGTTTCCTGCTTTGAGCCAACCCACCAGGAACCTGTTCAGTGTCACTGATGGATTTTACATGAGACCACGTGACGCACACCAAAACACCATCCAAACCAGACCCAGGAGACGACCTTGAAGGCTCTGCTAACGGGACGTGTCTCCTGGTCAGAGCAGGAGCACAAGCCTCGCTGGGCCACTGCCCACTGCAGCAGTGATGGCGAATGGCCTTGAGCGAGGGCCGTCGGTCTTGTCCTCCAGCCAGTGAGGAAGTGTCCTGTTGGCTTCCATCACCTCCTTCCAAAGCTGGAAATGAAATCAACCCTCAGCCGGTCACACCAGGTGCTGCACAGCCACCGAGGCTTTTCCACACCCCTCTCCGCCACCACAGTCCCACAGTCAGTCACCTAACCTCCTTGTGCCCCACACGTGAGTGGGTTCTGGGGCTCCAGGCCAGGGCCACCGTCGGCTCTGTCCCCAGGGTCGCCCTATACATCCCTCAGCATTTCCCTTCCCCCACTCTTGGCTCCCATGACACTCGGACCACAGACCCAGCAATAAAGGCCAGCCACAATTTCCAAATCAAAGCCCTGACCTGTCAAAGCTTCCGCGGGCAAACAAATGGAGTATTTGAAGTCACAGAGCCCCAGGAAACCCTGATCACACGGGCACCGTGACTGGACCACAGCTCTTACCAAGACTGTGGCCCACCGCATTTCCAGTGCTGGGGTTGGCCCTGGAGACACAAAAAAGACCACAGCATCCTCCCTAACTGCCCTGGGGAGCTAGGAGAGCTGCCCCTGAGAAGCCAATGGGGACCCGCCAGTGTGCCTCGGTGGTTGAGCATCAACCTATGAGCCAGGAAGCCATGGTTCGATCCCCGGTCAGGACACATGCCCAGGTTGCGGGCTCGATCCCCAGTGTCAGGCGATCAATGATTCTCTCATCATTAATGTTTTATCTCTCTCTCCCTCTCCCTTCCTCTGAAATCAATTTTTAAAAATATTTTTTTTTAAAAGGTGCTGGCGCGGGGTCCCTAAGGTGAGGCCCTGCCATGTAGCCAGAGTGGTGGCTGCTTATGGAACTGCAGGAAAGTGCCCTCGGAAGTGATGGACGGTTTCAGAAACGCCCCTTCTGCACGGAGGGCTCTGTGGACAGAACCGCAGTACCTGTGTGGGGCGAGAGGGGTCAAGAACCACTCCTGGGTTTTAGCCTGAGGATGTGGACAGTCGCACTAATCAGCCACGATGGAGGAGGCTGCAGCGGAGGAACAAGGAGTTCAGCTGGGACACTTGCAGGCCGCCATGTCCATGAGACGACTGTCACAACAATCTCTGGACTTCTCACGGCAGGCCCTCCGATGGCCTTGACTCTCTGCCTGCCCCATACTGGTCACGTCCTCTCATCACTGCTCAAGGTGGTGTCTGCCAGGACCCTCCAAGCTAAAGCTACTCCTCCCTTTCATCATAAGCACTGTGTGGGAAGCTAAGGAAACCAAGAACATGTCCTGTTCCTGGTCAAACAACTTATCCCTTTGGTGACAGCCATGGGCACTCAGGTGCTAATTCATCTGTGCAGGATCCGTTACACCCATTACTGTGATGATCAGACTGTCCCTGGTTTGGCGAGAAAGCCCTTGAAGGCCGAAGTCTTTCTGACATGCGCCCTCATCCTCTGGCACGTCCCTGCGCCCCACAGGACAAGGTACACGGAAGCCCTGCAGCCAGTGCTTCCCGGGGCCCTGCTCCTGTCCTGAGAGCTGTACTCAGAGGCACTCGCTGCTCTTGGGTGCTGCGCTCCCAGGCCCAGTGGCAGGCCAGCCCAGGGTGCATGTACATGCACGCACCCACACGCACATCTGCAGTGACCCAGTAACTCTCTGTACTGAAAACCATGAGTCCACAGTGATACCCCCAACTCCACTGCGACAACTCAATGTTCCCTTTCGTTGTCCCCCTCTCCCCGACTGGGACTGGTTCCCATCATCTCTAATGGACCGGTCCCACATCTGCGATCAGTCTCCCATCACACTGACACCCACCCCATGCAGAGGTGCCTGCTGCTCAGGTGACCCCCCATTTTGGACCTTCCTGCCCTATGCCCCCCCCACCTGAGCTGTCACACCCATGCCAGGCCATGCCTCGAGGGCTCTGCCATCCTGCACAGACACCCTCCCTACCCTGCACTGGCTCTGGCTCCCTGTGGTACAGCACCCCCAAACCATGTGGCATCCCTCCTCACCCTCAGGTGATACCCCATGCCAGGATCGCCCTCTGCAGGGAATTTTCCTTCCTGCTTTCAAACCCTTAGCCCATTCCGGCCATCCTCCAGGGTGGGACACGTGCGAGGCCCTCTCTTCACCTGCGTGGGCTCGGCATGCTCCGCACAGGCTGTTTCGCCAGTTAGGCATGCATTTTATATCAACCACTTCTATTCCAACCCAGTGACAAGCAGAGAGTCGCTGTGAGCAAGTGTAATTCTGGTTGGGGAGGGCAGAAGGAGTTAATCTGGGGGCACAAGGAGACAGACGGAGGGCAGAATGAAGGCCCTGAGGAGCAAACGACAACGTGAAAGTGGGCTCTGGAGCAAGGTGGGAGGCACAGGAGGGGTTCCGTGCTGGCAGCGCTGGAGTCACCCTGGAGCCCTCTCTGTGCAGGCGGCTAGCAGGCACCGCACTGCAGAACTCTCAGAACACTGACCACATCCACGTTTCCTGCTCAAACTCAGCCTCTCCTGTTTCACCCTCTTCAGTGCCCCCACAACTCCCTTCAGTGGGAGGAAGGAAGGCCAGGAAGAGGGTCAGGGCGCAGGGGACGACCCTGAGACCACGGCCACTGTGCAGAAGCCCGAACCTTGCTTGTGCCTGTGCTGTTTATCTGCACAGCAGCACCACACAGCGGGCGCAGGCCCAGCTCACGTGCCAAACACAAGTCTCAGCTTCTCCATCTTGCCTGGACTCAAATGAATCCGGGTTCAGAATTTGAACCCAGGTCTAGTTCTCACTCATCCCATCACAGAAGGAAGAACAGGCAGTGAGCGACAGAAAGAGCACTGGGTGAGGGGTCCAGGGGATGGACTGGGTGCCTCCCCCTCCAGGCTGCCTCCTGACTCTGCAGTGGGTGCACAGCATCTCCCTCAGGAAGGTGTCCGTGTCATCACATGACACTCAGACACGCTGCACCGCCTGGCCAAACCAGGCTGAGGGGCGGGGCCCCTCCAGAGCCACCAGGAAACTGCATATTTTCCTAAATTATACTGCAAGAGGAATGGCCAACGTGACCGGCACTAATCGATTCATAAATTATTGATCTACAAATGCATTTCAGTAATTGTACCACCAAAGTGGAACAGAGACCACGCAGAGGAGAGAAGCGCAACCTCAGTACTTCAACCTGGAGGGTTTCGTTGGACACAGTTCCTGTCCACCGGGCAGCCAGTGTGGGACCCTCTGTGGCTTTCTGAAGTGAGTGTGTTATTGTGTTTTTAGGGAGCAGGAACTGGAACAGAGAATGTTCCCAAATGTCATGGTGCTGGGACTAAAACCTAAGATCCCTAATCCTGCACATTTAAAGCATCATGTTTTGGGCCTAAGTGTTAAAGCCATATAGAGAATGCCCAGTATGGAGTCACAGTTGCTTTCCCTGGGTGTTTAAATAATTTAAATCCAAATCCAGTACAGCAGGATCTGTCCACACTCATTTTTCAGTAATAAATCAAATCATTTGTTAGTTGAAAGCATTGCCTTATTGAGTAAAATCAACCACTTTGATGCAAACAAGTCAGTAGATGTAGAACATTACCAGTGTTGTGCAACCAGAACATTCTCGCCACCCCAAAGTAAAACCCCAAACCCACTAAGCAGTTGCTCTCCATTCTCCTCCTCTCAGCCACTAGTAACCGCCAATCTGCTTTTGCTGAATTTACCTATTCTGGACGTTTCTCATAAATGGAATCAACACTGGTGACCTTTGGTGACTGGCTCATCTCACCCAGCATCATGTCTTAGGGGTTCGTGCATGTGGTAGCAGGTGTCTGCATTTCTCTTCATGGCCGAGTAACGCTCCTGTGTAGGGGTAAGCGTGTTCATGCGTGTGTGTGTGTGTGTGTGTATGTGCGTGAGAGAGAGAGAGAGAGAGAGAGAGAGAGAGAGAGAACATGCTGTCTGTCTCCCTCCCCTCTCCTCTCCTCCTCCCCAGCACCTCAGCAGAAGCTGGGTAATCTGACACTAACCGTGAAGGGACAACAGACAAACCACATGACCAGCCTGAAATGTACAAATGTGTTGACAAGGTCAGGGAGTCAAAGGAAATACTGAAGTCGAGTTTCGTCTGCGGGCGACCACAGGGCCACAGCTGCTCCCTGCAGTGTGGGGTTCTGAACCAGGGACATCACGGGGACAACAGCAAACTGGAACGCAGCACAGCTGGGACTGTGTCAATGCCAACTTCGTGATGCTGGTGGCTGTATGGTGGACTTGCAGGAGAATTCACTGTTTATAGGAATTAGATACAAAAGTATCCTGCAGAAATGGAGCATCCAGTCAGCAACTTCTCCAAGGGCTCAGGGAACAAAAGTCTTTGTACTGTATTTCTAACTTTCCTACAAATTTGTGACTACTTCAAAACATTTTTAAAGTATCAATGAAAACAATCAAAAAACAGATGTTTCCTATGCAGTAGGCAAAGCCGTGGAATTTCAGTTTCATTGAGCAAACCTGATAGAAAAGAATTCACTGCTTTCCACCTAGAGTAGTTTGATTCCTCAGAAAAATTAAAGGGTATTTCTATCCTGTATCACCAGCGTCCATAGCAGAAGAGCTCTGGGCCCTGAAAGGACTACCTCCCTGCTCATAGGAGGTCTGTAACCAGACAGATGGCGCTCCCTCCTCTAAACCCGTCCAGGCTGCTCAGCAGACCATTCAGAAGCCGGGAGCTTGCTTTCTTAATGGCCCAGCAACTTTCCCAACCTGAAGCCCATTTCCAGGCTAAATCTTCTGAAATTAAAACCTGTCGGCTTGCCCTACCTAGCTGGCTTGCTCAGTGGTTGGAGTGTCGGCCTGAGAACTGAAGGGTCCCCAGGTTCGATCCCAGTTGGAGCACGTGAGGGAGGCAACCAATCCATGTGTCTCTGTCTCCCTCCCTCCCTTCAACTAAAAATCAGTGGAAAAAAATATATATCCTTGGGTGAGGATTAACCAAAAAAATCTATCAGCTCCTTAAATAAGCTAATTTAACAGGAGATAATCAATCCTTCATTATTCATGCATACTTGCCTATGTGTGTTTTCTGAGGATAGGATTAATATTGATGAAAGTGTTGTAATACCTTAGGTAAATTTCTTCCATATTTCTGCCCAAAAGGTAGAATTAAATTTTGAGAATTTATGACTCCAGAATTATAAACAAAACAATTAAACTTTAAAATACATACGAAATCCTGTTGACTATGGCATCTTCATCTTCTTGTTCATCTGCAAAAATGTTTAAGGTATTAACATTATTTTCTCTTCCAACAAGATGTTTCATTCATTATGAAAAACAAACATATAAATTTAAAGCAGCAATTATTGAATGGAAACATTTTTAAACAGCACTGTTTTTATTTCAGCACAGATCCAAATTTAAATTTCATTAAATGAGATAGGAGAGAATATGATTAAAAGAATAGTGTTTTGATTAATCAAAATCCTTATTAACAAAATAGCCACATGTAATTAAAATATCCCAAACATTCAGTGCTCAAGAAAATGAAGCTTAGTAGGCCCTTAAGACCACTATCACGCTTACTGTTATAAAATGTAAGTGAAGTTGCTAATGAATGAGATTTTCTGGTTAATAGCCAAAAAAAAAAAAAAAAATGTTTGCTATAAAATTAAAATTCAGAATCTCAGGACTCATGTACTTTCCTAGAATGTGAGTTTGTCATTGGCAGTAGGCCACCCTAACCCACCTGGGGTCCCACTGCACCACACTTCATCATGACTGTCCAAGGCACAGACAAGAATATGTCCGCTTTGCCGGTGCTCACTCAGCCCCCATCACGGCTGCCAGCCATCTCCTCTGTCCTCCCACGTAAACTTACCAAGAAACTTTGACCCAATTACAAGGACACTGCACAACACCCAGCCCCTGCCCCCCGCCCCCAATGCCTAACGGGGCTTGTCCTCAAAGGCTCTCTGCAGGCCTCTGCAATTCTGAGTGCCCACCTGCTTCCCTGCCAATGGCCCGCTTGCGCCATTCTCATAGTCCAATCTCCATTCCGAATTACAGGCTGCTCTAAATAGCTTTACAACCAAAGGGACCACAAAATAATGTAGTCACAACTGACTTTTATACTGTGGTGCCCTCTCCAATCAACCATCAAACCTTAAAGAATGCTTTTTGTCAATTACATCTCAACACTCTGCCAACTAGGTCCAGAGTCCTCATCACCTCCTCCCCATGATTACTCCAAAAGAGCATCTAATAAACCTCCACTTTTCCTGCTCATCATCTCTAATTTCCTCTAAAACACTGCTTTATATTCATTCATTAATATCGCCTGCCTCCCCCTACCCTCTCTCTCTCTTTCTCCCCCGCTCTACTTCTGTGTCCATAATCTATGAAATCTGATGTCAAAACATCTTTTAAACTAGCTAAGATACTGTCTTGGATCCCAGGTCTGCAAAATTTTGAGAGATTATGGAATCCCAGGAGTCTGTCAGTGCTGTCACAGAGCCAAGTTCTAAAGTAACATCTCAGAGCAAAGAGTAGTCCCTGACTGCTTTCAAATGTCTGACAGACAAGTGTGATAGGCTAACATAATGCAAGGAATCTTTAATATATGGAATCCTCAAGTATTCATACAGCACTAGTATTAGCACAACATCACAGGCAGAAAATCCTATCATTTCTGGAAAACAGCTGCGATTTAACAGAAGGCAGTAAGGTAACTGCTTAGGTGCTTATAAAACCCTGGCACAAAAATCTGTGAATTATTAAACAGCAAAAAGTTCTTTTAAAAAAGAATAAAGATATAGTGGTCCCTCTGGCGAGACAGTATATACGGCATGTCCCAAAACATGTACACACACTGTAACAGCTGCTGGCTCAACTGATGTTTCTTTCTTTTCAGCCAGAGTAAGCTTTGAACAAAGAAAATTCATCCTAAATACTCCTGGAAGTTTAAAAATGCAGTTGAAGTACAACACTGCCTTTATAATTATTCAAAGTGTATATTATGTATACACACTTTAACAGCTGATAACTCAATTTCCACTCCTTTTCAGGTTTAACTGATTTGAAATAATATGTGAAGCCAACTAAGCTTTGAACAAAGAAAATTTATCCACTAGACTTTGTGTGGGGATACATAAAAGATAAGGTTTACAGCACAAAACCGGCAACAGTTAACGAATTGAGGGCACACAAATACCCAATGAAATGATTCTTGATGTTTGCGATTCCATTGCTTCGCGTTATCAGCAGAGCCTAGACCAGAACGGTCATCAGTTTGGAAACAGGTATTGACAAAAAAAAAAAAAATTATTCATTTCTATAGATTCTTTTAAATTTTGAAAATGAACTCTATGTTAATAAACACTGACTTTATAATCATTCAAAGTGTGTATACATTTTTTGGGACACCCTATATATGAAATACTAAAAGGATATGGTGTTAGGGATACATTCTGTATCACTTTGGGGGCAGGGGACGCGTCAGGTGCTCAGGCCATATAAGGCCAGCGAAATCATTCAGTGTGGCCCTGACAAGGCATTCGGAATGAGTTAATTAAATGTCTGACCAATAAAGCAGGTTAATTTTTAAGTTGATAATTCTGTATGGCCCGCAAATGATGTTATAATCCAAAAGGCCCTTGGCAGAAAAAAGGTTCCCCACCCCTGCTTTAGAGAAAGAAAAGTATTCTGGTAGTTAGAGCAATAATGGGATGGGGCTGAGTGTGTTCAAATTCAGAGCCAGTCACAGGAACCAAATATCCCCACAAACTTGGGAATTTCCAGTGTACTAGAGGGCCCGCACTATTCTTAGTTGGGCCCTAAGAATGTGACAAACAAGGGCTAAGGCCTAAGAGGATGACCCTACAGTAGTCAGGTTCCCTGGAGGTTATTTTTAGTGCTCTTAGTACCAGGCAACTGCTTGCTTCAGCCACGGGCATGGTGAATACAGTGCCACACGGACGGGCACTGTGGAGCCCTCGTATCGGGCCTAGACCACCAAGCATGAAAATCAAAGTTTCCATTACATGTTTTACTTGCCTGACTTCCTCTTGTATCTTGTGATGATGAAGTAGGAAACGATGTAAAGAATGGCAAAGAGAAGGAAACATATCTGAAACAGAACAAATTTAACACATCATTTACATTTTTGGCATATCTTTTTTTAAATAATAGACAATACATCCGTGGTATTTATAGAAAAAAGGGATTTATTACAAAGTGAACATTTTAAATATTTTGCTAATATTAAGTTTAGATGAAATATTAATTTATATGAACTAGTTTTAATACCATTTTCAGTGGAGATTTTTCTTTTCATAACTTGACCAAATTATTTTCAAAATCATGTGAATATATAAAAACCAGGACATCACTGACAACTCTGAAAATAAAGTCAGGTAGAGGCTACCAGCACCCCCCCGCCCCATGTTAAAACATAACATGAAGCTCCGGTCACATAGAAAAAGTGTACTGGCAGCACCAGAGAGATCAATAAAACAGTCTATTGTATGAAAATCATATAACATGTTATACACACAGAGGCATCACTAATTAATGTGACAATAATTATTAGATAAGCATACCACATATCAAAATAAACAGCAGTTAAACAAGACTTTAATACTAAATTCCATTTCATTTCTATCAGATCTGGGGCATGACAGGCCACAAGGATGGGTCCAGAAACAGATCTTGTCACAAAGACCAGGTGTGCTGGAAAGAAAGGCTCATCAGTGCAGGGACTACAGTAAAAGACTCAAGACTCTCACATCAAAGCATTCAGGTGATGATGAAGTCTAGGGAGCACCCCATAGGTGGATTTCTAAGCGACGGTTGGTAGTGTGTAACTGAGAACGACCTTGGACCTGTGTGATGGACATACACTGTATAGCAAGCATGTCAAACTCGCGTCCGGCGGGCCACATGCCTCATTTAATAACCTCAGTTTAATAACCTAGGGAATGACAAACTGAGGAGGAGAGGACCACTATGAGCCTCCTGCCAAAGTTCTCCCGTTACACGCGGACAGTGACAGGAAACAATACTGACAGTGACTCCAAGGAGCAGAGTCAGGAGCATCCAGGACAGCCTGCTGCTGGGAGCCCACAGGAACCCTGGCAGGTAAGAGAAGGTACCACCATCACCACCTCCTCCCTAAGCCTCCCCAGTGTGGGAGATGGGTCAGAAAGGAGCAGCAGTTATTGGTGCAGAAATGTACACAGAAGAAGTCAGGACGTTGTCTACAATGAAAAGGAAGTCCCAGAGGCTGGAAGAGCAATGGGAGAAGTCACTGGCCAGAAACACTGTGAAATAAGAGGTCAAAGTCAGAGAGATCAAATGACAAGGGAATCTGACGGGGCTGAGCAGAACTCTTTCATTCAGCAAGTACGCACTGTGGGCCACCAGACACCAGGTGCTCTCCCAAGAACTGAGAGCACAGCAGGAACACAACCGAGTTCCGCCTCACTGAGTTTCCACTCCAGTAAGAAAACAGATAATAAATACGTAAGTCCACAGAGTGTCAGATGACAACCAGTGCGGGAGGAGGGGACAGGGAGTACCAGGAGGGTGAGGGCCACCTCACTAACAAGGTGACATCTGAGGAAAGTCATAGGAGAGGAGAGAGCAAAACATACAGAGATCTGGAGGGCTGGAGGCAAAACCCTGACCAAAGTTGATTATGAAAGAATTGGAAACAAATATAAGCAGACAGTTCTTGCCAGGAGTTTTATGATAACAGGAAGCAAAGGTGATATGAAGGAAGTGGGAAATCATGAGCAGTTTTTAAGTTGGGAAAAGTTACAATGGTTCTAGGAATATCCAGTAAAGAGAAATCACTGATGTGAGAAAAAAAAAACATAGACTTGCTGAAGAAGTGAGCCCAAGTTGAGGGGCTAGGTATAAAATCCACCTGAAAGGAAGAGGAGGGAGAGGAGAAGCAGGAAGAGGAGGAAGAGCAGGAGACAGACATACGAGTGCTGCTGCGGGTGGGTAAGCACATGAGTGGTGGAGACCAAAATATTCTCTTTTGGTGGCTTCTGTGTTGTCAACGAAATGGAAGCAAATTCATGGAGAGTGGGAGATTAAATGGAGTAGAGAAATATACCAGACAAGAGCAGCACGGTGAGATGAAATAGCCTTTAAAGTTCCAGGCCCACTAGTCCAGAACTCCAAGCAGCATGGGAGGCCTGGGGGCGCTGTCTGACAAGTGGTCTGGTTCCCAGAGCTGAGGCCAATGCAGGTAGACATCTGATGTCCTTTACAGCCTACACCTTCAGACTTCACTCTCCACCTCCCTCACTCTGCCAACCACCAGTGTCACCTCACACCCACTGCCCAACTCGGCATGCCCTGGCAGTGGGCAGCAGCGACCCAACAGCCCAGTTCACGAATTCACTCAACCTCCACGCAGCAACTTGCAAGCCACATGCTTCCTCCTCCTCTCCTGCGCTCCCAGGCAACATCACTGGCTCCCCCTCCTGCCAGCCTTTAAACGTCATCCTTCTCTGTGATTCCTGGGCTGAACCAGATATCGATTCTCATTCCACAAGCTCTGCATAGGTAACCTCATCTGCCCCAGGGATGTAACCACCAATGCCCAGAAATCCCTGGGCCACTGTTTGAGCAACACTGGTTTAGGCATTAGCAAGAGTGAGTGAAATGACTGCCCATGAACCCTAAGTACATCAGAGACCAGAGAAACCAGGATGGGTGATGGATGGGAGCGGAGGTTCCCGTGAAGAAGCAGCTACAATAAAAGAACTTGAGCAACGGAGCTGGAGAAGTAGATGGTTGTGCTTAAGGGATGTTTGGGATTTTTTTTTATTAGTTTCAGGAATTCTGGGGAGTTAGTGCAGAAGTGGTAGATGAGAAGGCATGAAAGCTAACCACCAAAAGGAAATCAAGGCACTAAAGTGCGTGGCATGGAACGAAAAGACTAATAGAAAGCAAGTCATTCAAGGGCAGAAGCGAGATTAGCAATCACAAAAGCAAACGTATTCCTCACTCGGAAATAAAAATACAACTGGAACAGAGGTCACAGGCCTGGCTGGACTGTTTCCCCAGTTCCCCTAAATGAGTGTCTTCAGCAGAGAGACAGACCCAAAAGATGCGTGAAATGCAAGTAAGATCAAAGACACCTCCTGTTCTCCGATAGCAGGTGGGACAACAGGAAATACCTAACCATGGACAGGAGGAAACTGTGACAAGGAGAGGAGGGCCCTCATGGTCTGGAGGAGACTCGGGGAAGGAAGAGCGAGGCGATGGGAGCTCACCAGCAGAAACCATACAGGGAGCTTGTCCTCTGTGCCAGCTGACCCAGAGGACAGGCTCTTCAGCCCTCTCTGGAGCCCCATTAGTCCTGATGCTAACAAGTAACCTAATAATACATTTAAAATACACTGTCCCCCTGGCCGGGTGGCTCAGTTAGGTGGGTGCCAATAGCTCAAGGACTGCAACCACCAACACATTTCTAACAAAATCATGGAAGAGAAGACAAGTGAAAGCCAATGCATACAGCTTTATTTTAAAGTTGCTAAATTAAAACAATTTGAGATATTGAGTATCCTTTTTTAAAACATCTTTCTTGTTGGGAGTATTACAGATGTTCCCCTTTTCTACCCCATTGCCCCCCTCCACCTGGTTCCCGCCCCACCCCAGGCCTTCACCACCCTATTGTCTGTGTCCATAGGAATGCATATTATATGCATAGAAATTCTTGGTTAATCTCTTCCCGCCCGCCTCCCCCTTTCCCTTTGAGATACATCAGTCTGCTCCATGGTTCCATGCCTCTGGTTCTATTTTATTTATCAGTCTATTTGTTCATTAGATTCTTTGTTCCTTTATTTTGATTTTTAGATTCAATTTTCAATAGATATGTATTCACTGCCATTTTATTGTTCATATTTTTTACCTTTTTCTCCTTCTTCTTCCTCTTCTTCTTCTCCTTCTTTCTCTTCTTAAAGAATACCCTTCAACATTTAATGTAATACTGGGTTGGTGGTGATGAACTCCTTTGGCTTTTTATCTGACCTTCAGTTCTACATGATAGCTTTGTTGGGTAGCGTAATCTTGGTTGTAGCTTCTTGCTATCCATCACTTTGAATATTTCTTGCCACTCCTTTCTGTCCTAAAAAGTTTCTGTTGAGAAATCAGCTGAGTCATATGGGTGCTCCCTTATAGGTAACTGCTTTTCTCTTGCTGCTTTTAACATTATCTCTTTGTTTTTAACCTTTGGCATTTTAATTATGATGTGTCTTGGTGTGGGCCTCTTTGGGTTCCTCTTATGTGAGAACCTCTGTGCTTCCTGGACTTACTAGTATAAGTCTATTTCTTTCACAAGTAGGGGAAGTTTTCTGTCATTATTTCTTCAAATAGGTTTTCAATATCTTTCTCTCTCTCTTCTCCTTCTGGTACCCCCATGATGAGAATGTTTGTATGCCTGAAGTTGTCCCAGAGGCTCCTTACACTATCTTCATATTTTTGGATTCTTTTATTTTATTTTATTTGCTCTTCTGTTTGGGTGTTTATTGCTCTCTCATATTCCAAATTGCTGATTTGATTCTTGGTGTCCTCTACTCTACTGCTGATTCCCTGTAAATTATCCTTCATTTCTGACTGGTCCTTTTTCATGTTTTTGATGTTCTCACTAAGATCCTTAAAAGTCTCACTAAATTCCTTGAAATTCTCATTAAGTTCCTTCAGCATCCTTAAAACCATTGCTTTGAACTCTGTATCTAGTAGTTTTCTTGCTTCCATTTCATTTCATATCATTCTTTTTCTGGAGATTTCTCCTGTTCTTTCATTTGTGACATATTTCTTTGTCTCCACATTTTGGCTGCTTCCCTGTGTTTGTTTCCATGTATTAGGTAGAGCTGTTATGTCTCCTGGAATTGTAGAGTGGCCTGTGTAGTTAGTGTCCTATAGAGCCCAGTGGCTCAGCCTCCCCAGTCACCTAAGCTGAGCATTTCAGGTGCACCCCTGTGTGGGCTGTGTGCACAGTCTTGTTGTAGTTGAGCCCTGATTGCTGTTGGTGTCACTGGGAGGAATTGACCTCTAGTTCAACTGGCTGTGAGGACCAGCTGTGACTATAGTGGCTGTGCAGGAGACACCCCTATGGAGCAGGACTTGCTTCAGTGCAGCTTTGGTGCTCACTGAGTCTATCCCTTGAGTGTGTCACTTACGGATGGCAGAGTTGTAATCTGGTATGGTCTGAAGCTGTCCACTGGATGCACTGGCTCTGGGGTATCCCAGAGGTGCAAAGTCAGCCACTGCCTGGGGCCACCCAGCAGGAGCTAATTGTGTTAGGCTTGTAAGTGCCCAGGCAAGGCCAACCTGTGAAACAAGGCAGGCTAGTATTAGGTCTTTGCTGAAGCCAACTGCTACTCGTTTGAGAGATTTTAGAAAAGTCTGAAACCTGAGCCAAGAGAGGCCATTCATATGGGAAAGCCCCTACAAACAGCTTGGGTGGGGCTGCAAATTGGATGGGGCAGGGTCTCAGGGAATCACCAGGGCAAAGTGAACAGTGTGGGCCAGGCTGATGGAAATGTAGATATGGCTACCAGTCAGCTCTGCGACAGGGGAGTTCTCAGCATAGAAACAATGATCCCTACAAGCACCCGTCTGGGAGAAAGCCGCTGCTGAGTTCCTGCCCTGATGCCAGACAATCCAGTTCCTCCCTGTATGTCCCTGGATCCCCCAAGGCTGCCATCCAGCTCTGGAGCTCAGAGGGAGCAGGACCACGTAAGTTTGTGTGCTGGCTCTTTAAGAGGAACTGTCTGTGTCTCCAGCAGCCTCCATGTCACTCAGCCACAATCCCGGCTGGATATTAGAGCCTGAAGTTACAGGGCTTCTCTTCACAGCACTGGAACTCTCGGCTGGGGGTCTGGTGTGGGGCTGGGACACCTTGCTCCTCACTGGAGGCCTCTGAGGCCAAGCTATCCCTCCTGATTAAAAACACACCACACGTGGGTGTCAGACCAGTCCATTCTGCACCTCCGCCCCTCCCACCAGTCTCAATGTGCTTTCTTCTTTACTTTACTTCTCTAGTTGTAAGACCTCTACTCAGCCAGCTTTCAGATGGTTCCGAATGACGGTTGTTCTGTATTTTAATTGTAATTTTCATGTGGTTGTGGGAGGTGGCAAGTACTGGCATTTACCTATGCCACCATCTTCAGTTCTATCCTTTAAAGTTACAAGCTAACCACTACAATAACTAAAATTAAAATTATAATTCTTTCAACAAACTAAGAGTTGCCCGAGGGGAGACAGACTGGGTGAAAAAGATGAAGGGATTAAGAAGTACAAATTGGCAGTTACAAAATAGTCACAGGAATGAAAATATAGTTAATAATCCTATATAACAAAAGCCTAATATGCAAATTGCTCGCTATGATGTGCACTGACCACCAGGGGGTGGCGCAGACATGGTGGGCATCGGCGACGTGGCACTGGAAGCAGGCAGCAATGGAGGCGGTGCCGGCCCTGATGGGCCCCGACAAGAGCGGGACTGCAGAGGGATGGTGGAGCAGGTGAGCGGGCAGCACCAGGCCAAGGTGGGTGTGTGCAGGGGCCCTATCGCCCTGCCAATCACCCCGTAGACCAGCGGTTCTCAACCTGTGGGTCGCCAACAATGAAAATACATCCTGCATATCAGATATTTACATTACGATTCATAACAGTAGCAAAATTACAATTATGAAGTAGCAACGAAAATAATTTTATGGTTGGGGGTCACCACAACATGAGAAACTGTATTAAAGGGTCGTGGCATTAGGAAGGTTGAGAACCACTGCCGTAGACAGCAACCAGTGGCAACAGCAGGATGCGGGGCCGCCGCCTGGCTCCCAGGAGCTGGGGGAGCCGGGTAGGGGGGCCCAGCCCCGATCGATCGCCCTGCAGGTGGGATGGTGGAGCAGGTGAGGGGGCAGCACCAGGCCACAGCGAGGCTGCGGGGCTGCAAGGCTGGGAGCGCGAGCTAGGGCTGCAAGCCTGGGGGTGCGAGCTGGGGCACGATCCCCGCAGGCCACCCCGAGGGATCCCAGCTGTGCACGAATTCGTGCACGGGCCTCTATGGACGGTGCCAGGTGGGTACTAGACTTATCTTGGGGTGAGCACTTTGTAAGATATAGAAATGTCTAACCACTATGTTGTACACCTGAACTAATAAAAGGAAAAAATCTACAGTATGTTGTAAAAGGCAGGAAAACACAAAAATAACAGTAATTAGACATGGAACATATTAAAATCATAATTGTAAAAGAGACAAACTATTAAAAGGCAGATTCTAACAAAGGAGAAAGTTAAGCTGTCAATTTTTTTCTCCTCTCAGACAGGGCTGAATTTAAGGCAAAAGGTGTGAAGTAATGCCCTGACTGGTTTGGGTCAGTGGATAGAGCATCGGCCTGCGGACTGAAAGGTCCCAAGTTCGATTCCGGTCAAGGGCATGTACCTTGGTTGCGGGCACATCCCCAGTAGGGGGCGTGCAGGAGGCAGCTGATAGATGTTTCTCTCTCATCGATGTTTCTGACTCTATCTCTCTCCCTTCCTCTCTGTAAGAAATCAATAAAATATATTTTTTTTAAAAAAAGGTGTGAAGTTAGACAGTCAGGCACTTTATGAACAATGGTGTAAGCCATGATGAGGAAAAAATCTGCATGCACCAAAAAACACATAGTACCAAAACACATTTTTAAAAATTGAATATGCAAGGAAAAAATAAAACACTACTTTAGTTAGGAGACTAATTCGCCATAAAAGAAAAAGTAAACCCAAACCAAATGCATAATAATAAATATGCATTTTTAAAAGTCATAAGATTCTAGTAAATAAGTGTTTCTCATACTCAATGCTCCATGCCCCTATGTATCCCATACACTGCACCCCACTGCCCCAGCCCTTTGCAACCACTAATTTGCTTTCTGTTTCTATGGATTTGAATTAATATCTTCTAAATATTTCATATAAATGAATCGTACCGTATGTGGCTTTTTGTGTCTAGCTTCTTTCATTTAGCATCCATGTTGTAGCATATATCAGTATTTCACTGCTGCAGAGCTTTACAAGAAAAAAAAACCCATGTTTGATTTAAAACACATGAATATTGAGTTGCTGGTGGCTGAAAGCTTTCCTTTCAGATATATTGGCCTAGCTCCACAAGTATCTACACTAATAAAAGACAAAGATGCTAATTGACCATACCTTCGCTATGCCCTAAGCCACGCCCACCAGCCAATCAGAGTGACTATATGCAAATTAACCCAACCAAGATGGCGGCCAGCAGCCACAGAGCTAGAGCAAGCAGGAGGCTTGGTTGGCCCGGCGATGGAGGAAGCCAAGCTTCCCACCAGCCCTGAGCCGGCTGTGGCCTCTGCTAAAGGCAACAAAGTTTCAATTATAGAAGATAAACAAATCCCAGATACCTGCTTCCAGCCAGCCTCCACTGTGAGCTTGGGTGGCTGGGGGTTGTGGCCAGCCTGCAAACAGCCATCAGCCCCTCACCCAGGCTGGCCAGGCACCCCAGTGGGGACCCCCACCCTGAAGGGGCTGTGGCCAGCCTGCAAACAGCCATCAGCCCCTCACCCAGGATGGCCACAACCTCATGGGGTGAGGGTCCCTGCTAGGGGGCTTAGCCAGCCTGAAAACGGCCCTCAGCCCCTCACCCAGACTGGCCAGGCACCCCCAGCAGAACCTCCCACCCTGAAGGGGCTGTGGCAGCCTGCAAACGGCCCTCAGCCCCTCACCCAGGATGGCCAGGCACCCCAGTGGGGACCCCCGCACTGAAGGGGCTGTGGCCAGCCTGCAAACAGCCATCAGCCCCTCACCCAGGCTGGCCAGGCACCCCAGGGGGACCCCCACCCTGAAGGGGCTGTGGCCAGCCTGCAAACAGCCATCAGCTACTCACCCAGGCTGGCTACACCCTCATGGGGTGAGGGTCCCCACTGGGGGGCTTGGCCAGCCTGCAAACTGCCATCAGCCACTCACCCAAACTGGTCAGGCATCCCAGCAGGACCCCCCCACCCTGAAGGGGCTGTGGCCAGTCTGAAAACGGCCCTCAGCCCCTCACCCAGGCTGGCCAGGAACCCCAGGGGGGACCCCCACCATGAAGGGGCTGTGGCAAGCCTGCAAACAGCCATGAGCCCCTCACCCAAGCTGGCCAGGCACCCCAGGGGGGACCTCCACCCTGAAGGGGCTGTGGCCAGCCTGCAAACAGCCATCAGCCCCTCACCCAGGCTGGCCAGGCTCTCCTATATAATAAAAGGGTAATATGCAAATTGACCCTAACAGCAGAACGACTGGGAATGACTGGTCACTATGACACACACTGACCACCAGGGGGCAGACGCTCAATGCAGGAGCTCCCCCCTGGTGGTCAGTGCGCTCCCACAGGGGGAGCTCTGCTCTGCCACAAGCCAGGCTGACGGCTGCCAGTACAGTGGTGGTGGTGGGAGCCTCTCCCGCCTCCTCAGCAGCGCTAAGGATGTCCGACTGCAGCTTAGGCGGGCTCCCCGCTGGCAAGTAGACATCCCCCGAGGGCTCCCGGGCTACCAGAGGGATGTCTGACTGCCAGCTTAGGCCCGATCCCCCAGGGAGCAGGCCTAAGCCAGCAGGTGGTCATCCCCCAAGGGGTCCCAGACTGCAAGAGGGCACAGGCCGAGCTGAGGGACACCCCTGAGTGCACAAATTTTTGTGCACCGGGCCTCTAGTGTATAAATAAAAAGGTCCTGTCAATGTAATGGATTACATTAAGTGATTTTCTAATGTTGAGCCAGCCTTGCATACCTGGGACACATCCCCCGGGTCATGGTGTGTAATTCCTTTTGTATACTGTTGGATTCAGCTTGCTAGTATTTTCTTGCAGAATTGTGTATCTATATTCAATATCTTTATGAGAGATAGCAGTCTGTAGTTTTCCTTTGTTCAATGTCTTTATCTGGTTTTAGTATCAGCTTTACTAGCAACAACTTCCCTTAATGTTTGTTTGTCTGAGAAAGTGTTTATTTCTCCTTTCATTTACACTAGAGGCCTGATGCACAAAATTCATGCAAGAGTAGGTCTTCCTTCCCCCTGCTGCCAGCACTGGCTTCCCTCTGGCACCTGGCACCTGGGACCCAGTCTTCCCTCAGGTCATCGGCAGGCACCCGGGACCCGGGATTCCCTCGCAGCCCCGGCTTCGTCCGGAAAGACGTCCAGTCTAATTAGCATATTACACTTTTATTATTATAGATGATTAATTTTGCTAGATACAGAATTCTAGGTTGGTTGATTTATGTGGGGGGAGGGGGGTTCTCTATTAACATTTTAAATATTTCACTCCTCTCTTTCTTGCTTGCATGATTTCAGAAGAGAAATCTGATATAATTCTTATTCTTGATCCTCTATTCTGTAAGGTGCTTTTGTTGCCCTGCCTTCTTTCCTCTGTTCTCTTTGTCTCTAATTTTCTGCAGTCTGATGATATGCCTAGATGTAGATTTTTTGGTATTTGTCCTGGTTGGTGGTCTCTGAGCTTGCTAGATCTGTGGTTTGGTATCTGTATTAATTTTAGGAAAATTATCTGGCATTGTTGCTTCAAATATCTCTCCTGTTCCTTTCTGTGTGCTTCTCTTTCTGGCATTTCCAATACATGTAGATTATACCTTTTGTAATTATCCTACAGTTCTTGGCTGTTCTGTTCCCTTTTTTAACCTCTTTTTTTGCTCTTTGCTTTTCAGTTTGGACAGTTTGCACTGACATATCTTCTAGCGCACTCATTCTTTCTTTGGTCCTGTGCAGTCAACTGATAAGCCCATCAAAGGCATTCTTCATTTCTATTACAGTTTACTTGACTTCTACCATTCTTTTTGAGTTTCCATTTCAAATGCATTAATCATCAGGGAAATGCAAGTAAAATCTTTCATGCATTTTTTTCCATTAGAGCCCTAAGCATATTAATCAGTTATTTTAAATTCTGGCTTTATAATTCCCAAATCTCTGTCATACCTGAATCTGGTTCTGATGCTTGCTTTGTCTCTTGAGACTGTGTTTTGCTTTTTAGTATACCTTGTATTGTTTTTGTTGAAAGTCAGGCATTACGTATAAGGTAAAAAGAACTGAAGTAAGTACACCTACACTGTGAGGCTTTATGTATCTAGCTGTGAGTCAGGCTGTGTTTACTGTCAGATGTCACTGTGGGCATCAGAGGCTAGAATTTCCTCTAGTGTTCTTGTTTCTGTTTCCCCCGTTGCCTTTGATTTTCTCTAGAGACTTCTTCTTAAATAGAGTCTGACTCTAACCCCTTGTTATCATACAGAAACCTGACTGATGTGATAGTTAAGGGGTGGCGTAGACAAAGTAATAAAGCTCCTGGCTACTATAACATGAGATCTCAATCCAAATGACATAATACCTAATTAATTAAAAATAAAGCAAAAAAAAAAAAAAAACAAATAGACCAATGGAACAGCATAGAGTCCAAACTTAAGCCCCACAAATATACAGTTACCTAAATTGTGACAAAGCTCATAATGGTGCTTAAACAATTGGACATCCATGTGAAGAAACACGTATAACTCCTACTTCACAGC